CACACACACACACACACACACACACACACACACACACACACACACACGCGCACACACACACACACAGGGCTCTTCTGTTGTCTTTGCTCTAACGTCTTCCATTTAATGGTGACTCTAGGAAAACACTTATTAGTGTTATCATAGCGGTCAACACGCCCATCCGTCATCATTACGGCGCATACACATGTGACCTACAAAGGGAGCTTGTTTGCGTGAATGGGTCTGATTAATTATCCTGTCACATGGCAAATTAAAAAGGCCACAACAAGCTGCGCGCCTATAGTTCATCATAAAGGAAAATGCATGCGCCTGCCAGTTGAATGCACAGTTGAGTCTCATTACAGCTGATGATATCCTGATTATTCATTTAACCTTTAGAATGGCATTTTTTATTATATTATTATACTACATTCTTATATTCTAAGTCATTGTATTTATTTGTTTAGTTGTCAGCACTCATTAGCTTGACTTCAATAGCTTACATTTGGCTTTACGTGAGCACTTTCTGCCAATTTAACAGAAATAATTCTTCATTGCACTTCTTTCAAAAGCAATTGTCATTACTTATTACTCACAATACTCTCTGACGTCCCTATTGTCTGTGTGGCTCTCACTGCCAACAGGTGACTTTTGTTGTTGCTCAGTATTTTCTAAAACAGCTGGTCACTGTTGTTTTCATCAAAGGTTTTTCAAACAAGAGTATATAGTCCATTTGTTGGGGACTAATCTACATTCAGTGCTCTAATGAGTATGTGTGGCAGCAGGGTGGCATATGCAGGATTGAGTCAGAATAAACTACAGTGTGTGCTCATGGTAATGAAGACATTTCACCTAGTACCACTGTGATGAATGCACAATATTACCAGATACATTCACTGATTGGTTTGGCCTGCACATGGGATTTGATGAGAATAAGAGAGTTTCTATGTGGAGGTTAACAGTTGCTCTCCTACTCAAACATGAGGCACCTGAGCTTAAATGTTAAAGGGCCAGTGTGCAGCATTTAAGGGGGTTTGCAGAAATGGAATATAGTATTAATAAATGTGTTTTCTTTAGTATATAATTGCTTGACAATAACAATCATTGTGTCTTAGTTACCTTAGAATGAGCCGTTGATATCTACATACAGGCGTTTTCACATCAGGTTGCCATATCTCTCCTAAAGCTTGACACACTGGAGAAGTTTCCGTTGATTGCAATCTGCCACCTCACCACCGGATGGCGCCAAATCCCACACAAGGGCCCTTTTCAGGTGCTTTTTCTGTCAGGTATTCATTTCTTCATAGCTTTCTAAATGCAGTGTTACATCTTGTTGATGATCGTAGATTAAGCTGAGCGAGTCATCCACCAGACTTTTACAAAATAGCATTAACCTAATACAGTCCCAGCCCTATTGGTCACTCCAGCAACAGCATTGACATCCATGTCAGCCAAACTTTCATGCACCCTGTTTTGGATTTAAGACATATTGTGAGTAACAATCATGATTTCAACTGATGAGGTTTCTACGTCACATAACAAATTGCAGATTAATTCCACTAGAATATGGTACAAGCAGCAGTGGAATCATCACATCATCACAAATGCTCCTATGGTTATTACACAATAATGGCAGGGACCCGACAAGCCTGTGCATGATAATGTATCACTCACGGATGCACAAATCTATTCTCAGGGCGAGCTCCACCCGCGCATCATGCATATATCTCACTACACCCAGAGGCTTGAATTTAAAAACACGGGGCCGTTGAGGAAACAAGTTTGAGTTGCTCTGGACTGGAAACTTGTTTTTTGCGGGTAAGCAACGAGAGCCAAAACTGTGCCCACTGCCGTCATAAGCTCACTGCATTTGATTATTGAACTTTTCCCTCGTGTAGCCCTGGTAACTATTTGAAGCTCCGGTAGTTTTAATGGCAGGACCGGCAGGACAGATGACTCAGAGCACAACATATTCATCACATTATAGCCATGCGTCTCTTTGTGCATCTGGACACAGTTGGAATGTTTATTGATTCATGAGACGTGCAGTGGGTATACGTGTAATGATACAGCAACAGGGATGCAGTCAATAGGGATGAGAAATGAGCTGTGAGGCATAAATACAATATGTATGCCGGCCGCCGGTAAACATTAAATGAGAAGAAGAAAAAACCGAGAGTGAAACGGCGCCCACGATCAGCAGGACGACTGACTATTTGTGTTTATTATTTGAACCAGTTAACTTGACTTCTTCTTCCTTTCGCCTTCAAATCCAAAATGTTGCCGCAGTTTGTTTTCTCTGCGACTAACTCCGCAATGTCTCGTCACCCCAAAAACACTTTCTAAACAAACACAACATGTGAAAAGCAGACAGGGCTTATATTGCATAATGAGTTCATATTTTCTTCCGCTAACATTAGATAGTAACTCAGCTAACAGCCATATTTAGCATTGCGATTAGTTTAAAAGATCGTTCGCCAATGTTTGTCTTCAACAAAGTGAATTTGCTTCGGATTTATAGAGAAAGGGCTCAACATTTACTTCTACTACTTAAGAATCGGTCATAATCTGTGTTCAAGTTCAAATCTCCCATTGGAGTTAATAGACTCAGGGCCTGCCGCTAGTCTCCTAAAAAGGGCGGGGCAGTAGCAAAACCCACGTGACGCAAATACAGGGACCTGACTCTCAGCGGGCCGCCTCCTTTCTGAACCATCCTTCTTATTACTGATACAACACAAGCTGGATATAACGCTGTGATGCTGGCCGCACAGGTTGCTGATGTAGGTTACTTGTTAAATTGCCAAACAAACACTTGATCAATTGATTGGGTAAATAATCGGCAGATTATTATATAATTAGAACTAGTCACAGCCCCTCCTGAAACAAACAAATTGTCGGTTAGACACATACAGAAAGAGACCAAAGGAAATCCACAGTAAGTGATATTTATGGAAGTCCGTCCGGTGACAGTTTGAGTTTCTGTTTGTGCCAAAATAGGGACGCTATGTCTTGAATCGGCAAAGGTTTCTGGTGTTTCTCCATCTAATTACGTTGCCCCTGTTATCACACATTCCCTCGCTGTTGCATATTGGCTCCGTCTGCCTTCTGTTAATGACATTTTCCAGCTCGTCCTTTGGCTGGTTTCGTGTCTTGCTGACAGTAGTTACGTTTTTCATTTGACATTCCAAAAAAAGCAAGCTATCTACCGTCACTTTAGGCTATCACACGGCTGTCTGGATTCGGTGATCCGAGCTGCTGACGGAACGTGGTCTTGGGGTTTTCTTGTCGAGTTGCTCTCTCTCGCTACTTATTTGTTTTAAAAATATCCCTCATTGGTATATCCTTTGTCTAACTCTTTGCTAACGCGAATGGACCTCACAGCTGACCCCCGTGCTTGGTCCTCACTGCCTCTATATGAGTGCCGTTTATCAGCCCACTCAGTTCTCCTCAGACATCAAGCACACGGCTAGCTGCCATAGTTACATCCCATTCATCCACGTCTCGGGCTTGCGGCCAATGTTGTCCCATTCATCGATTCACCGGAGAACAGCGCTTCAGCAGAGGTGGACTCCTTCTGACTGGAATTAACGGATAATAATTACAGCAATGCATCCTGCGGAATAAAATGATGCGTTGACTGGAAAAGGCCACGCTGCACATAGTCCGAAAAACTAATCGTGATAAATGACTGACATCATTGCAATGACTTGATTTTATGTTCAAAACATGACAAATACATGCTGCAAACAGAGTTGAGTGGCAGACTGATTTGTTTTTTTTAAATGTTATTTGGCACAACCAAATGCACCAAACATGGATACAAACATTAAGCAGAGTCAGAGTGACATTAAAGGGGCTGTGCATACAAATGGAATCAAAGCTGTTTTCATTATTATCAATACAAAGCTCCCATGTGTGCAAATTGAAAAATGCCCCCACCATCTGCGACTATGGTCTGGAAGCAACATATGGACTGCACTCATTTTCATCAAAATGGTCTCATTGTTTCATGCATGTGTAAGGGTTTTTTTCTGCGAGTTTGCAAAAGGTTCCCCGACATGAGAAGTTGTGAGATACCTGAACACTGCAGCCCGGGAAGGAGCTACTTGTTGTTTAGTTTGTCTTGTGTAGCATACAGGGACTACAACTGCTATTCGTTTTGCAACCCTGTGTTGTACAATAAATGAACTTTGAACCTTGAGATGACGAGATATTGGCTTGTACCAATTGGTGATCAGAGCGTATATATCACAGATTGTTTTTTCTTAGGCCAATGTTAAGGTGCTCTAACAAACTTACTTTAAATCTTTGTTCTGCGCTCCATAACGCTCCGTAATTAACGTTATGGATATGGCTGTATTGACCGTCTTTTTTTTACCACAGCAGATAATGCATTTTTAGAAGGCTAAACTCCAACGAATAAGGATTGAAGCAGAATGTTTCGTTACATAAAAACATTTTCGCTACCTGGTGATCGGTTTAACTCTCAGCAATCTCGAGTAGCCACGATTGGACGTTATGAAAATAGAAACAATTGTTCAACCCTCATATCATATCAAAAATTTATGAAAAGCGTCGAACCTGACAGCAAGATTTCAATGAACTTTACTCTGGATGTTAACAATCTTTAAAAGTTGGCTTTTCTTAAGAATTAGGTGACCCCTGACCTTTCCTCTAGCACCATCAATTTCCACACAAAATATTACAATCCAACTGCCCACAAATCATGAAACAATATCAATTTCTTGTTCCACGGTTGATAGAACCTTTCCATTTTTCATATCTCGTGACCTTTCCTCAAGCACCACCCTCAGCAGAAACTTCAATCTTTTTCCACTTATGGTACTGTGTGTTCAAATGTGAGAAGCTAATGCATATAAAGCCTTTGCAAAGGATAACAATGGACCTGTATAGGCTCTTGGTGGAGCAAATTTAATTGTTCGTGCAACCTCAAGACATTTTAACTTGATCTCTAATTCATGAATGCACAAAGAAGAAATGGAGAGGGGTCTAACAGAAAGTACATGCAGAGGACCCATGTCGGTGTGTGCAGTGAGTGCTGGCTATACAGCCAAAACACGACAGTAGGTAACATTATATTGGCGACTAAAATACGCATTGGAAAAACAACTCCAGTGGTCAAATTCCTATGATAACCTGACACAAAACTTTGCATTGCGTCCTCAGCAAGACCAGGCTCTTTTGGTTTGTTTTCTATCAAAGACAATAGCATTGTGACGTGCAGTTAATACCGCAGCCCCTAGGTGCTGCTAGCGTGGCATTAGTCTTGCTAATTATTCTTACTGGATGATTATTAACACCCAAGGGTACTTTCATCCAGAGCAATTTTTACTCTCTTATGCATATACTGTATGTCAGACATATACTCTACAAATCGTTTTGAGCATCTGGAGCTTGTGAAACTCATCCCAGCAACTCTGATGATGTATTATCTTGTGTGTGTGTGTGTGTGTGTGTTTGTGTGTGTGTGTGTGTGTGTGTACACTTGAGAGGATGAATTCCATTTGTGGTGGAACATCTATTAACAGCGATCGTCTTTCTCTGGTGCCGGTTTTGAATTTCTCACCACGGGCTGTGGAAAGACGATGACACTGTTTGCAGCCGGCCGCAAAATTGTGTTTGCATTCGGAAAACATTTTGTCTGTCAACAGAGAGAAACACGAGAGCAGGAACACACACACATGCTCACACACTCCGAATCGATCGGAACAGATTGTGATGAGACGGTCATATTAAAATGATAATCAAGGTCTCTCCCATTCTCTATCACTCTCCCATTTCCTCCCTCTTTCTTTCATGTGCTGCCACAATACATCCAGTGTAATGACCGACAATATAAGCTTCACTAGTAGTGCACGTACACTGAAATACTTTCATGTCGTCCTTTGTTTCAATTACAAAGTGGAGTGCTCATCTGCCCTCTGCTCTCTTTGGTCTCTTCAGTTCCTCCCTCCATCGTGAAGCTGAAAGAGCCCGAACGCCGCCATGACACCTGCATAGAGTTCACTGTTCGAGGGTCGCCCCACCCGACGTTGCAGTGGTTCTACAGAGACAAGGTGCCGTCAGTGTGTCACCAAATCACGATCCAATCAATCTATTGTGCATAGTATATTGTCTAAATTATGTTATATTTTATGGCTGCTCTTTCTAAGCAATCATTCGTTTACCTGAAAAGAATGAACAGTTTGGCATGAAATGCACCTTGGAGAAACAAAAGGATGTATTTAACAATGGAACTGCACAATTGATTTGAAATATATCTATAATCACAGTACATTAATTTACAAGGTGTATTTATTGATCATCGTGTCTTACAGGCTGATGACGTGTTTTGTATAGCTGTCAGATAAATGGGTGCCAGTTGATTAAAGGTTTCAATATTTCTCTCTGAAATGAAGTGGATTAGAAGTTGTGTGGACATGATCTTTGGTTTAACCAGCCGCCCACACCAACGACCGCAGGTTTATGGTGCTGCAGATCAACGGTGGAGAGATTGAATTAAACAATACATTTGTGCTGGAATTAGCAGGAAGAGAGCTAATAAATGTTAGCTGTTAGCTTAGCATATAGCAACCAGTGGGCAGAAAAGTCCTCCTTGGCTAAATAACGGAGCTAGCAGCCAGACGAAGGCATTGAGTTACATTATGACGTATTCACGCTTTGTTCAGTAAAAATGAGTTTTAGGCAAAAGCAAATTATAATATAGTCATGATGTGTTCAAGCTGTTTGAAACAGATGTTTTCACAGCAATATTTAATGGATGACATAGCTGCCAGACAGTGGCCGAAATCAAAGCTGCAGGCACCAGCATCTGGTGTCGGGCTTCATGACTTGATGTCACCGTTCATTTGTTCTGTCACTGCCCTTTCAGGAAGTATCCCACACTGAGTATGTGCGTCCTGATATGGATATTTACCAGGACTACATAGAGGGCTGCCTGACCTTTAAGAACCCAACGCACCACAACAATGGCAACTACACTCTGACGGCCAGCAACTACCTGGGAGTGGCCACCAGTAGTGTGTACGGGCACTTCCTCGACAAGCCCTTTGATGGTGAGTTGGGACCTTGAGGGCCATGTTGAGTCTCTGTTGCATTGTTGAAGAAAAACTAATCGGCAACAGAGAACTATCTGCACCTGTTCCTCTCAACTGAAACCATCAGAACAGAACCATCAGTCCTTTAGTGATGACTGCTGTTGACATACTAACACACCATGGCAGTACACAGCTATTTTACATTGTGGCTTTGTGTTTGAACTGTTGGCTGTAAAACCTAAAATCACAGTAAACAATGATCATGATACAGTCTGCAAGCTGCCGTTTTGCTTTCCTTCTCATTCTATAGATATCTGTTATATGCTTACATGCAGCTACTGTAAAAAGTTCCAACTTCTTTTAGATTTTCACTCTGTTGGAATACGGAACCATTAAGTGTTTTCTCGCATATCTCTTCCCCACTTAATTTTCGCCCAAATTCAAGGTTGCCAGCTGTCTCCACAAACACACAATCCATTGATTGGATTATACGTGCCTGTGTACCTATGTACTGCTCAGATGTGTCACGTTTGGGAACAAACGTAGCACACATAAAACGTAACGTGAAGCCTTTAAACTGCTCGGTGGATGATAATCCAGTTCCAGGTACAGTCAAGAGGCCTGTGCTGGCAATACTGTGAATGGTGATCGGTCAAGCAGATGCGTCGCCACATCATAACAAGGACAACTGCAACAGACACAGAGGCTGGCTTTTAGCAGTAATGCAGATATGGAGCACAGGCACACAGAACAGGAGGACAAATGCATTAGAAAGAATGACGTTTCTATATATACAGTTAAGTAAAGACAAAGATGGGCCAATCTATGAATGGAGCAGTATGAAGTTGAAGATAGTCCTCATTTCCAAAATCGCACATATTGGCTTGAGTCACAAGAGCCTTCAGAAGATTTTCGGGTTGTCCGTCCTTCTGTCCGATCCATTCGCGTCCCCCTTGATTAGATTTTGTTGGTCAAATGTCGAGGTCACTGTGACATGTCATGTCCGTCCCCTTCTCGTGATTGGTTTAGCCCTAAGGTCAACGCGCGGTGTTAGCCTTTCCTCAGCTGCACCCCGGCTGCATTCTACATAGCATGACATGGTGACATGAAGCTTATATTTAGTCTAAGTGTGAATGAGATGCGGAGAACAAAGTTATATTTAGACCGGAGGTGACGGTCTCGTTGACGGTGTTATTTCTGGTGTTTTGCTCTTTTCACACCTTACACCCAATGCCCTGCCTCTAATCTAAACATTTGCTCCACTTAAACTATTTTCATCTCTCGGTTATGCTGTTCTCACGTACACTCAGATACCATACTTATCCTAGTCTGTGCAGCGTGTCTCACAGCGTCTTGTCTATCTGCTCTTTCATCTTCCACAGGCCCAGACACAGATTATGATTATGGTAAGTGATTTTTGTTTTTCAAAGAATCCCATTATGTTATCCTGGTTTAAATGTTCATGGTTGTCAAGAAGGAGTCAGCTCCTCAACATGACATCCTCTACATATGTAAATTTTACATTTTGTGCAATTAGCTCAATATCGTTTATATGTCAAAAAACATGACTCGTGACCCGAAGAATTCCACAGACTTGAAGGCATGAATTGGAGTCAGAATGTATAGTCCACTCTATTTTAAATACAGGTTCTCCTATTAAATCGAATGCAATCCAATACGGCAGCTCAGCCATACATGCTACACCACTTCCACTGCTGCTAAGCCTTATAATAAACTCAATACTTCTCTAAAACTCAACATTGTTATATTTGCAAATGCAGATCATATGTCTGAGCTGTTTTATTATTTATTTATTGGATTGCATTAGATTTTACCGATGTACCTAATAAAGGTGTCACCAAATTCACAAAGAATGAATTGTCGCCGGTGATGGCACCATCAACTCGCCAAATCTGCAATGAAGTTTTGCAGCTGAGTGCAATTTGCTCTTGTTTTCTTTGCGTCTGATCGTAATTACTCATGTTGTTTTGTAGACCTGGCTCTGGACGGACTCATTTCATTTCTCTTCTGTCATGGTGCCTAAATACACCTGAATGTCGCCAAAGACACCCAGTTCCTAAATATTGCAATACTTTCATCACCTCCTTTGACTATAAAAAGTTAGTTATTCATTATTTTATAGAAAATCTTCAAGAGTGCAAATTTAAAGCAGTAGCTACTTGTTTCTATCTGAGGTGCCAATTCATAACCCATTATTATATCATTTTAGCATCACTTTATTATAGTGACTGATTGATTGAATCTATATTGATTGGACATATACTCTTACATATATGGCCCAACCGTATAAAGTCACAAAACTTTACAGATGTGTAGTTGAGATCCAAATGAAGGCGTGGTTTAAAGATAGGCATGCTCTGAGCAGGGAAGGGGGGGCATTCCCCTTTGCATTGCAACACGGTCTCTAGTTGATTATTTAAATATTGTTTTTGTTTTATCATTTATTTTCAAAAAACGACACGCAGCAGACCTTTATTCATGACTCAACGTCATGCAACTTGGATCTAAATATGAATTGGACGTTTTTTGCGATGGGGCTCATTTGCATAGAAAAGGGCCAATCTTGCTCTTAATGTCTGCATATTACCTCATTTATATAAAATATAACATGCTTGGCAGCGCTGTTAGGAACCATACGTTTTTTTGTCTTATTCGTGCCGGTTTAGAAGCTGCAAAAGCCGCAAAATTCGTTTGCGAATTTGACCCTGAGTGTTTAATATTGTTCATATTCTAAAAGGGACAAGTCTTTATAATGAATTGTTTTTATACATTGTACTTTTTTTTTAAGCAGTCTCAACTAGAGCCTTTTTTGGAGGCGAAGGTTATAGGAGCTTGAGAATAATACATATCCAGTATATCAAGGGACATATCTTTCTATCAGCATAAATAAATATCTATCTTATCAAGGTGTGCCTGAGTAAATATGTTTTAAGATTTATACTTTCCCAGAAATGTGATCTTTAAGAAGATAGGATTTATTGTGGGACTGTACAGATGATATTGTGTCCAGCTTCAGTCTATTAACTGGCCTATAACGACAACATTGCAAGACTTTCATCTCTAAGTTGTGTGTCTTTCGCCTCCTTTTGTCTGCAGCTCTCTGTATTGATTTGAGTAGTTTTTCTGTTTTTGTTTTGTGTGATGACTTCTCTGCTCAGTTTCCCTGCAGAAGCAGCAGGTCTGTAAACTGTTGTGATTTTCACAAGCCAGTCTGTATCTTCTTGTGTTTATCCTCCCAGTGACCCCGACAGCAGAGACTCACAAACCAGAGGAAGATCATTTTGGGGTGAGTGATCGAAATGTTAAAACATGTTGAGTGTTTGGATGGGATGTTGTGCTTGTGCTTCTTTGTTTGGTCTTAGAGCAACAAAAGCCCATAATGAAAAGCGTCCTCGTCACAGGCCGGTATTATTGATTGTATGAAACAAGGAGCAGTTTCTAAAACGAGCATTATCACATGTTGTGTCTTGTTTCTACATGAAAACGATCGGATAAAATGACGGACTTGAGGTGGTTGAGGTCCTGCCAGCATTGCGTTTTCAAAAGAGTCAAATATAAGTCTTAGTGAATTTATGTCGCTAGAAGAAATGACCAGTTTAGCTCACATTTCAGTACAATATCACATCGCATTGCTTGGTGTTTTAAGGTTGGGATGACCCTGAATACAGGAGCCCCCCGGTATAAGGTCTAAACCGACACCTAAAATAAAGTGATTGAGTTGTAATTCTGAAACTATCTACTAAGTGTAGGTAACACAGAGCAGGGCTTCAGTGCTGGGTTTTTCTCAGGTACGCTCCCAAGGCATCTTGGACTTGTGTTGTGTCTTTTCTCAGTCCAGTGGGTGCTCTGACTCAGACTTGTCTTGGTGTGTAGGGCTTTTCAACTCCACCTTCTCTTGGCCTTGTCTATAACAGTGTCTGGTCTCGACCAAGTTTTTTTTTTTTTTTTTTGCATTTCCTGTGTGGCTTCTCTGCTGCCAGTGACAGCCAATCCGAAAGTTGTAAGCCAATTGAGTGGATGTTATCGGTGGTTATCACTAGCATTCTAATTCTTCAGATGCTCCAAATGGCACCTATCCGTTGTGAAAGTGAAACAAAATACCTGTAGTTTGTGGCACCAAAACTACTTTGTTAGGTTTAGGTGTTAGTGGTGCAGCGTTAGTTAAGTACATAAGATAAGTACATAGCAACAAATGTATTTAAACTCGTAATGACCGTTATGTTAAAGTAACAGTGCAGAGGAAGACCAAAAAAAAGATGTGGAACAAGAGAGTAGAACAAAAATCTGAAAATGTAGCTCAGGAAGTGAAGAGTGTCGAGAGCGGATGGTGCTGTTTTAATCAAGCCTTTCCTTCTCCGCCATTCGCCCGCTGCCGTTTGCTGCTATCTGCCGGAATCCCCTGGTGGCCGGTGAGCCTGAGAGTCGGTTAGAAATGTAATTGAGTTATTTTTTCTCCTGTAATTGACTGGGAAAAGATAACTGTTGAAGCAGAGGCTTTGACGGAGCGAGCGTAGTGGGTTAGTGTATGTGTGCGGGTGCCTTTTTTCCTTTTACATAAGTCTGTGTTTCGAAAAATACGAATACCTGTATGCATCTTTAGATTCAAGTGTATGACCGTGACAGATATCGTCCAATCTAAAGCCCAGCTAGGGACCCTCTAGAGGCTGCTGTGTTTCATTCAAGCTCATAATATGAAAGCAGCTCACCAGTGAGCCTATAAAAAGTCAAATTGATCCAAATGGTGGTTGCTAGAGGAAAGCACGGCCATGGAGTAATTAAATCCAAAGCATTTATCTCCTCGTGAATGTGAAGAAGAAGAAGTTCTTTATTAATCCATCTTGGGGATTTCATTCTCTTGGTGCACACGGGTATAGGCCCAACATACACACATATGACCCATTGACATGCATTACTGTTGTTGAGAGAGAGAAGGGGCTGCCAAGGTCAAGCAGCACTGAGCAGTTTGTGGTTCACTGCCTTGCTCGAGGGCAGCTGCACCAGGCCGTTCCGTATGGTCGGTGCTGGACTTGTACCGGCCGCCCCGAGCCAAGTCCCTAATGAATGAGGCAACAGCCTCTCAAATGTGTTCGACAAATGTAATATGGTTCTGCTCATACCCAAAGGGTTCATCTAAATTATTACGGTTAGGGATTTTAAATTTCTGTCAGAGAGGAAACATTAGTTGTTGTGTTGTTTTTTTTTGGGGGGGGGGGGGGGGGGAATGGGGAGAAACCGCCTTAATTAATAAAAAAAAGGCTAATGTATTTGAGGAAAACCACAAGATGACCGAGACCAAAATGCAGTTGACTTTGGCATTTAGCCGTCACGTCCTGTTTTTTTACAACCTGAAGTGACACGAGAGGGTGGAGCTAAGTGCAACTGAATGCTAACTAAGAATTTTTAGGTGACCAAAATATTACAAATAACTTTCATGTGGTGAAAACACACTGTGAAAGGGTTAAAGTTGTAAAACAAAAACAGGGGCAACTCCCAGACCGGAAAACGTTAGTGATCTGTCAATCACCGTGTAGCCCGGCCCTGAAGCATACCCTGCTTTATGGTCTGTTTGACTCTAAATGGACCATAATTTACTAAATGAACATCATGCTGTGTTGAAGAAGACTTGAAACTAGAGATTGAGACCATAAACTCATGTTTACAATGTTTACTGAGGTAATAAATCAAGAGAGAAGTAGAGTCACTTTCTCATAGACTTCTATACAACCAGAGGAGTCGCCCCCTGATGGACATTAGAGAGAATGCAAGTTGAAAGCATTTTTGCATTGGCTTTACTTTTTAGAACAGAATGTTGCCGTCTGATTTATGTGCATATTTCAAAATTGTAAGCTCCATTCATATCGTTAATGGTATGACGCTGCCACCTTGTGGTTTACTTGCAAGTTTTCGCAATATGAGCAGGTTGTATTTTTTCTAGCATGTTAAATAGCCTCCCAAATAATATATACTGTATATACTGTATATACTTAGCTGTTCCCCTGTAAGGCCTGCTGAGGTCCTTGCTGTGCAAAAATCATCCTTTCTTTATTCCTATGTATGTTTGTAATTGCCCTAACACTATGTCCCCCCCCGCCCCTCCGGTCTGTAGGTCTCCATAGCAGTAGGCCTGGCAGGGTTTGCCTGTGTGATGCTCGTGGTTCTCTTCCTTCTCATCAACAAATACGGACGACGCTCCAAGTTTGGCATGAAAGGTAAGAAGTGTCTCTAAATCTATTTGTTCCGTCTTCTCGAAGATGTCTTGAATCAGGCTCTTAGTGTGCGACACTGCTCTTGAATGCCGCTTAAAGGAGCGAATCGTGGACGGAAAGGCTGAATCCGTCTGCTTTGCCAATATCTTTGTCGTATTCATACTTTGTTTGGTGGACTGAATGGAAGGATGAAGGAGTTACGAGTGACTGAAAGGAAAGATTGCAAAATAATTAAAAGCTTGAAAGATTGAAAGATGAAAAGCACGAAGGGAGGAAGGACGTAGGGACAAAGAGAAGGGTGTGGGGAGGAAAGGAGGTCTCACTCATAGCTTTGCGAACATGGAAAGCATAATTTGAACCAACAATAGTCCAGTAGGAGGAAAGGTAAGGCAAAATGATGGAAGGACAGAAAGAGGAAGGCAACAAAAGAAAGAAGGAAACAAGGATGTTTTGGACGTTTGCTTTATTTTTTTACTTTCTGTTTCCTAATGGCCTTTCTTTCCACCATGTTTCTGTCTCTCTGTGTGTTCCAGTCTTTGGTGTGGACTTGCGTCTATGTCCTCACATCCGTCTAAGCTTTCAATATGAAAAAGAGGATGAAACCGCTTTAAGGATTTACGCTCACCTGAAGGCAGAGTTGCTTGGATCAGAGTTGAATGTATTATCTAATGATGAACAACACAGGCCCTGCTCGGGTCAGCTAGTTTCTCTTTGAGGAGTTGTGTTGGTGTGAGCTGGATTTATTAAAGTCCACTGAAGTAAAGGATTAAGCATGGGGGTGTTTTTACATCTCTCTCTCTTGCTCTGTCTGCTTGGTTTTAAGTCATAATGTTTGTCGCCATATACAGAAGCCGGTTCATACTATGGGTCATCGGTTTTAGGCGCACCATAATGACATCACAGCTTATAACTGTATCTTGGTATCCTGAGAAAATAAAAACTGCTCATATTTAAGAAAAAGTCTTAAAGGAGACATATGGTGTTTCTACCAGAACATTTTCAGATACTTTAATCTTTAAACAACTCTTCTTATTCTCATACTTACTGTCTGAATGTACTTGTATTCACCCTCTGTCTGAAACGTTCTGTTTTTAGCGTCTGTCTCTTTAAGCCCCAAAAAGCCCAGTCTGCTCTGACTGGTCAGTGTTTTTCCGCATCTTGGCTGTCTCGCTATATTACACTTTCTTTCCATTCTATACAAACAAAAGATAGAACTATAAACACCATATTGAAAACTCAAATCTAATGTATTAACAAAAAGACTCCAAATAGCTCAACATTAGCACAATTCCATTGTCTTCACTCAAATAGAAATTCTAACTAAACCAAGACTGACATCTGAAGGATTTAACCGCACATTGAAACAGCAGTCACAGCTTGAAAAGTAGAAAGTTAAATTGACTGATATTCCAACCTGCATTTCACAGAAATGGTACACTACAAACAATGCGAGAGCTTTCTGACTTGTGTGAAATACACATTTGAAAGTTAGAATGAAAGCTCTTAAGGCTCGGAGAAAGACTACTTGGATTCTTTTTTACGTTAGTAAACTGAATAGTGCCTCTTAGAAATCCAAACCAAAGAATTCTCAAGTAGCGACCAAGGCCTCAAATGCAAAGACAAAAAATGAAGGGCAGATTTAGATGCACATCGCAATGAAACGGGATGATTCTTACTAATAATGTTCTTCCTCAGAGGCTGAAGGAATATTTAAATGGCATTTTGCAGTCTCCAGGTTTTTTTTCGGGCGCCTTCATTAATTATTTAAATCTTCCGCCACACCAGAATCTAACGTAATTGACCTTCACACTGATGAGCTGCTCCACACATTCTCCATGTCATACAATGAGATCTCTTCCTGGTTCTCTCCCGTTTTTACTGAAAGCAGACATCCGTACCACGTCTCCAAATTAATCAAAGAAACCGTGACCTTTCAGCCAGGAGAGCGTGAAACAAGAAGTCAGTGTTGATGTATTTGTTACGTAACTTGTGTACTTCAGTAATGGCACTTCCGTAGACATTTTAACCCAAACCTAACAAAGTAAGTTTGTTACCTAAACTTAAATAAGTAGTCGTCGTTGCCAAAATCTGACTAATTTATTTCTTGTGAATACGTAACTTTATTTTGAAAAGACTGTATGCATGTAACGAGCGGAAATTGACACGTGTTGGTGGCTTTTGGTGGAAAATGTACGAACAACGACAATACGTTTTTCCATGATATCATACAAACAGTTGTATTGCCATACGTTAAGGTGGGAAACGTAGGACTCACTACATTTTGGTTGCCCAAAACAGGTCGTTTTTGTTGTGGTTTGCTGCCACTTTTTTCCATTATTGTTGTTAGGCAACCACCGAATAAAGTAAATTACTGAAGAAATATAAGAGTATTATGATGGACATTTTTTTTCAAAATATACTTTAAAGCCCCGCTCTCTTTTGCTCTTAATTCAATTCAATGTTTCTTTATTGCCATTAAAGTTTCAATGAGTATTTTGTTTGTATTTCAAATGTTAGAGTTTTAATTTAGAATTTAAGATGACAGGTTATTCCATTGAATGTTTTACATTTTAGGAGGAAGTGCATCTCTCTCTCTCTCTTTCTGTTTCCCTCTGTCTCTCTTTAACACAAACACACACACACAAACCCCATGTCTTAAGGGCACACACACTCTCTCACACACACACACACACACACACACACACACACACACACACACACAC